ACTGGAGGCATAGGACATTTTCACAGCATTTTTGGATTGCTAATTACTTCTACATCAGAAGTTAATGACAAACCATATAAAGCATGAGGAATTAAAACAAAAACAGTAAGATGAGCCTGAATTCAAATATATTAATGTCACTGAGAGACATAATTTTACAAACAAAAGTTTACAAATTTATTTGTTTGAAACATATGCTTGGTCTATTTAAAATAAAATATAACCAATTCATACAACCAATATAAATAGTTTTGTGATAAAATAGAAAACATACTAGCTCATCCATGTAATCAATATTATTAAAGACATTTAGCTAAGTTTCCTTTAAAATTGGCATGGTACAGGGCTGGAGGTGAGTGGATGGGAAACAAAACCACCCTGGAATTTTGAAGTTTTCATGTATTTTGTCATATAATTGAAATTGATTTACCTATTTTTTAAGAGATAGAGTCTGGTCCTATCTTATATGGCAGTTCAGGTAGATTCTGAACATTCTCTCTGAAAAATAATCATGCTTTAAGGGACAAAAAGGGTATAAAAAGAGGGCAGAACACAGGGCACCTAGAAAGAGTAAGGTGTGGACCTGAGACTGGGCTGCTGCTGCGTCCTGTCCTTTTGGTGAGCTACCTCCATGCCTTGTGCTCTCTACCTTCTGACTGTTTTCTCTGAAAACCAATGGGATTTCTTAAGTCCCCTTGACTTTATACAGTTTTTCCTGCTCTTAGGAAACAAATATAGAATAGTGGTATTTTATTTTATTTGGGGGAGCAAATTTCAAGAATTTACTAAATTAGAATCAATTATCATGAGCCAATTACTTCTAAAGATGATCAAGATGTATCTGGAAAATTAGTGTTTAGTATGAGGTCAGGTATTAAAAAAATATTAATACGTATAGAAGGTGAAGTATTTCTGGTACTTGGCAATGAAGACAGCATTTAGGGACCATATTCAAGGTACAAAACATTACATTAAATCACCTAATCCCAAACCCTTCTCTTCATCTCAATGTCCTAAAAGTGCCACTGTTCTGTCCATAGCTGAACATACAGGCTGATGATTCCTTTACATAATGGTAGATGGAGTTGTCTTCTCACTATGTGACAAGATGATTAATTCTGTCTAATTCTTTTTTAAAAAAATTTATTCATTATTATTGTTATTTTTTTACATTCTAAGACACTGTTCTGGAGCAATTGGGGGAGGGGGAGAGGGAAAAGGGAGGAGGATAGGATGGGAGAAAGAGGAAGAGGGGGCAAGGTCGAGGTGCATGGCATCCTCCTTATTCTAGGTGGGGAGCCCAGGGGGCTTCTGGCGGGTTTGGTCCTGACTTGAGTGGATGTGGACTTCAGGGCAGCATGGCTGAGGCCCTCAGCCCCCCACCACCTAGCTGAGGAGCCTGGGGCACTTCTGGCAGCAGCCTGGTGGTCATCACTGGGCTGGGTGTGGATGGGGGGGGGATGTGGATGAGGCCTTGGCCCCCCACCACCCTGATTTGGGAGCCCAAGGGGCTTTTGGTCTTTCTAGGTTTTATAGGAATTCTTTGGTGGTGTTTGACTTTACTGGTTAATATCAGAACTTTGTCTCTGAACTGTGGGGTTTTTGTTTTCTCTTTCAGTTTTGTGTTGGATTATTCACTATTCCTACCACTTAAACTCTGCACTGGGACTAATTTGTTGTACTTTGGTTACTTCTAAAATGGGGGAACTTCCTGCAGGAACCAGCATTTGAGCCCTGTGGTTGAGTTAAATTGCTGCTTTTGCTTCTGATTCTCTGGGTAAGGCTTTTTTGTGCAGCTCAGGTTTTAATTGTTGACCTTGTAAGCACTTCTGGGTCTTGTGAGGTCCAGTACACCTGCGTTGTATAGAAACTTTGGTCTGAGCCTATGTCTTTTTAGCAAACTGCACCCCCTACAGTTCTATATTTCTGACCAGTCTCCACTGAGTGGGCCTTTGCTGACTGGAGGGCAGATCAGCTGTTCTTGCTGTGCCCCAGTGTTCCCCTCGTGGGCCCATCTCCCCAACCGCCACACTCCAAACACTTCCCATGGGATGGGTCATGAGCTAGTCCCTTGCAGTGACTCACCAGCCTCTGAGTGGCTCCTTTTTTTAGTTGTCTGTGGCCCCTCACCCCACCAAGGCCCTCTTCTCCCCTGCAGCCTCTAAGCAACTTCATATGAAGGGCACAGCTGCGGCTTTTACCAGCTCTTGCTCCGTGTGCTCACCAGGGCCAGGCTTGAAATGGCCAGGGCTTGAAATAGTCAGAGTGGTCCTTTCTTTCTCTCATCATGGTTTCTCCTGCCTTTGTGAACTCCGTAGGTCCTTTTTCCTCTTCCCCTGAGCTCTAGCAGCCCCAGCTTGGCAGTTTGTTGCTCTTTAATAGTTGTAAATTGGTTGATTGTGGGAGAGGGTGACACTGGGGACCATCTATACTGCCATATTGATCAGAAGTACAATAGTGGTATTTTAAAGTTGGGATGAGTGGTATTTTAAATCTGGGATATAAGTTCCAATTTGTTAGTCTCTGAAATTTCAGACTTTAGGCTCAGAGTCTATTGGGACTCTTCCAAAAATGCTCAGAATCAGGACCATATGTGTTAACTCATAATTGCATGTATAATTTAGAGAGAAGCATTAGAAACAATATTAATTAGAAAAACTATTGACATAAATAGCATGCACTGTACCTTTTTAAATTTTTTTCCTTTTTTTGTCTTTTTTCGTGACCGGCAACGGATCGCAACCCCATGTGTCGCGCCCGTACTGGACCGGGACCGGCAACGGGATCGCAACACTCGGTGTTGCACCCGCATCTCGCTCAGCCAGTGAGCGGCCGGTCTGTATGTGGGATCCGAACCCTCGGCGGGAGCCACCGGGCCAGCCCCACCATACCTTTTAATAAACAATGGAGTACACAAGATCTTTGACAGTAAAGACAGTTCCCAGGCTTCAATGTTAACAGTCTCCCAGGGCCAATCTGCAGTAGAAATGAAGCGGTATGTACTGACCTCCAGAGTTGGGAAGTGATGGTGCACTGAAGCTTCCATTAGCTTAGACAGGCAGAGAAGGAGTTGCAAGCACAGCAGGAACAGTGGCAGGTAATACAGACGTCTGGGCTGATGGAGGGGAATTATTTGCAGACATCGGCCTTTTAAAAATCTTTTAAAATAGTTATCAATCTTTTTGAAATGGTTATGAAGAGCTTTAAAAAATAATAGCAGTAAAAAAATGACTGCACTTTTGGATTTAGTTGAAAGCTTCTTTACTTTTAAGCCACTCATGCTGATCATTATAAGTTCTATCACTGAGTTGAATGCACACAAAAAGGTCCTACTTCTCTTGATATCAGTCCTATCAAAAGAGTCTTGTCCTTAGCAACACAACCAGGGATTTGTAAAGAATTTGACATCACTGAGTTATCCTCATCAGAACGGAGTTGACATTGCTTATTTATTAAACATCTTCGTCTATTTTAAGTATATTGCTCTATTAATTTAAGAAAATACATATTGAATCGAAGTTGTTTATCCATCAAGATAAAATCCTCCTGGTTTAAAAAATAGTGTTTTGGATTAATTTATTCAGCACTTATCCTTCAGTTCACTGATTTGTTGGGACACCTTCTCAAAGGTCCACATCTTAAATCACCATCTCCACTGTTCTAATTTTCATTTTGGGGGATGAACTTTTCTATAATAAAGTACAAAGCTTTAAAAAATAATACAGGCATATATCATTTGAGGAATGGGTCTGGCGAGAAAAGCGGATGCGTTCTGAAATGCAGTCAGCAAAGGCGAGCTTGGCGGATCCTGAGAAACTCAGCGCCCGCCAGCGTCTGGGTCCCCGACGAGGGGCCCGCCAGGCTTAATGCTCCCGGCAGGACCGCGCCCGCCGCTGGCGCCCCTTCCTCCTTCCCTCTCCGTCCCGCCCTCGAGATTTAAAAAATTTTGAATTTTCCGTTTACGAGGTGGGAAATCTCAGTTAAATGCATGGTCCTTCCCTCTTGCCCCTGGGTTGTCGTTAAATTCTGGGGGAGCCTTCATAGTACCTAAGTTTTGTAGACGATGTAGGCACCCCTCACCCCTCTTTCAGATTTTGGGGCCCTCTTCTCAGTGTCTGTGTCTTGTTGGCAGGTATCTCCATCATTTTGCTCTTATAGAGCCACACTGGAGCTTCAGACTCTTTCTGGGGCTTTCTATGGCTTCCCCATACCGCAGAATCACGCCCTCTCTGGAATCTTGCTACCTGGTGTGCAGACCCTAGGCCGCTACGCTGGGATCCTGGAGAGTCCGTTCTCTTACTCTTGTTAATGTTTTACTTCAAAGGCATTTCCTGTGCTGTGAAATTGTTCCTCACAGGCATCTAATACTTTATGTAATTCGTTTAGATTTTTAACAGGTTTATCACATAAAAGCCAATGACTCTCAAATTCTCTCTGCCGAGTCCTGTACCATCTCAACACTCGGGGCAGGGTGAAAAACAGCATGGCTACACGAGCTCCTAAATCTAACAAGCTCAGTGGATCACCCGAGGAGCTTATGAAATTAGAGACGCTCCCACCTCCAACTCTACAGCGTCGGTGCTTGTCTGTTTGTTTGTTTGACGATCACAGATGATCAAGGTAGAATTTTCAAATCCCTCAGTTGCGGGCGCGGGGCGAGACTCCGTCCTGTCCGCTTTTCCTCTAATCTCCTAATTTTCTTTCCCAGTAACCCGCCTTGCCCCTTCTCCTCCTTTCTTTGGTCGCGCCCTCTCCTCTCAACCTCTCCCTGCTCCCCAGCTCTAGTCTTCCTGCCCCAAGCACCCGGCCCACTCCTCCTCGTCCCAGCCTTTCCGTCCCGTCCCTCCTCCTCTCTCCTCCCCGGCTCCTCCCCTCTCCTACCAGCCCCGCCCCTCTCCCCTCCTCCCCGGCCCCGCCCCTCTCCTCCCCGGCTCCTCCCCCTCCCCTTTACGTCCCTCCTCACCATCCGTATGCTTTTCCACGCGCCGCTTCCGTCATCACAGTCATTGCGTTTACTCTGCGCCGGAAGAAGAACCTGCGAAGGCTGTCGGAATTATGGCGGCGGGGGATATTCGAGGTAACCTGTACTGTTATGCTTTGTTTCCTAATTGTCTGTAGACTGGTGTGGGGGTTTATAGCTCTCAGGGGCAAGGCTCAGGTTCCTTTGTGAGGTCGCTAAGTTTTTCTGAATGCCTTCCATGGACGATCCCAAGCTCTAATCTGGCGAAAAGTTGCTGAGGTTTTCTTAGTTCCTGAGGGGTGTCTTAGAAACGTCGAAGCCAAGGGGATGGAAGATGCTCTGGGCTTTGAGCCCTCACACCTGGAGTATTGCTCTGCACACATATCTCTGCAGCAATATTGGCGCTGTTCTGTGGGGGTGAAGAAATGGCCTTTGGATAGAGAAAGGAGTTGGGTAATGAGCCTACTTGATTTGGTTCATCTATTCGGACTTGACATGGGGACTGCTGTATTCTTGAGATCGTCCCCACGGGTCCTTGGGCATGAATCCCTAAGACTTCCTGTTATAAATTTTATTTTTTAGTCTATAATACCTTCCGTTGAACACTAGCAGTTACTGAGGGCGGGGTTCGTTTCTTTTTCAGAGCTGAATTGTAGAGGTATTCAAATATTTGTTGAATTATTCAGTGAACAGAAATATGGAGATGCAACCCCTTAATTACTGCTTGATCTTGGGTAGCATGGGTTTTGTTTGTATATTCTTGATTTTTAAAGGGAAGTGTTTGAGACACCTTTTCTGTATTAACCGAATTGGGGTCTAGCACAGTTATTGGAAATATATTCTAATTTATAGTTATCCAGTGATCTTCAGCATTTCTGGATCATGTTTTTTACATGTTTACATGTAATTGAGAGTTTCTTTTTTTTCTTTTAAAGATGACCGGTAAGGGGATCTCAACCCTTGGCTTGGTGTTGTCAGCACCACGCTCAGCCAGTGAGCTAACCGGCCATCCCTATATAGGATCCGAACCCGGGGCCTTGGTGTTATCAGCACCGCACTCTCCCGAGTGAGCCACGGGCCGGCCTAATTGAGAGTTTCAAGTGCTTAATTTCATCACTTGTAGATTGTTAGAGTGCTGTACTTGGTCTTTGTCAATGTGCTGCCTTGGTGCTGGGAAAAAAAAGAGAGAGAGAAGCATTTCGTCCATAGTACTATTTTCAAATATTTGTTTTTCTTAATGTACTACTTTTTATTTAGATTTGTTAGGATTATGGCAAAGGCTGTAAAAATGGGAATGTGTCTGGTGTGTTAGAGGAACAGCAAGGAGGTGGGTATAACTGGAGGTGGAGAGGATGTGGGAAGGAGATGAAGAAAGAGAGGTGTTGTGGGCCATGATAAGGTCTTTGACTTTTCCTCTAGTAAAATGGAGAGCCACTGGAGGGTTTTGATCAGAGGGATGACATGATCTGACATACTTGTTTTCTTCCGAGATCACAGGAGATTGGGTACATTCAGGATGGTATGGCTGTAGACTGACTTACTTTTTTTTTTTGGATCACCTTGGCTGCTGAAAACAGCTAAGGACAGTGTAGGAGGGCAAAGGTAGATTAGGGAAACCAGTTAGGAGGCCAGTTCTGTAATGCATGGACATTTGGAGGCAGCTTGGACTAGGGTGGTAACAGTGGAGATGGTAAGAAGTGGTTGGAGTCCACTTGACTTGGAAGTGTATTCTCTTTATAGGGCTGTGGTCACAGGCAGTCTCCAAGCGGGACAGGAATTATGTTGAATTTCACATCCATAGATCATACTCTTAAATCCAGTTAACCATTTTGTAGATGAACATCCTTGGATACTGGAGTCTGTGTGAATGGATTGATAAAAATCTATGACCAGTAGAGTAAGTCATACTGTACTTTTCCTTTGCTGTCAATTATGAATTAATAAACATTTGCTGGTTATTATGAGTCAGGTCTTGTGTTAGTTCTTGATGAGTAAGATACAGTTCCACTTCTTTAAAAACTCACAATTTAATGGGAATACTTTGTATTTCTGGGTTATGATATGATGAGTATTGATAATAAAAGTACAGGCATACCTCATTTTATTGCGCTGTGCTGTGTGCACTTTGCAGATATTGCATTTTCTACATATTGAAGATTCGTGGCAACCTGCATTGAGCAAGTCTATCAGTGCCATTTTTCATTGAAGGCTCAGATGATCATTGGCATTTTTTAACAATAAAATATTTTTTAAATTAAGGCATATTTTTCTGAGATAATGTCATTGCACATGTGATAAGCTACAGTATAATGTAAACATAGATTTATATGCACTGGGATACCAAAAAATTCATGTGACTTGCACTGTTGTGATATTCACTTTATTGTGGTGGTCTGGAATCAAACCCGCAATTTCTCTGAGGTATGCCTGCGTATAGAAATTGCTATGAGAGGGCCGGCCCGGTGGCACACTGCTACAGTGCACCACTTGGGAAGTGCGGCGGCGCTCCCGCCGAGGGTTCGGATCCCACATGCAGACCGGTTCCCGCTCACTGGCTGAGCGAGGTGCGGGAGCAACACCGAGGGCTGCGATCCCGTTGCCGGTCCCGGTCCGGTACGGGGGCGACACTGAGGGTTGCGATCTGTTGCCGGACACGGAAAAAGACAAAAATAAAAAAAAATAATTAAAAAAAAAAAAAAAAGAAGAAATTGCTATGAGAACATAGAGAAAGAAGCCACCACTATACCACCATCATCATCATCATCATAATTGACATTTATTGGGCTCTTACAATGTGCTGAGCATTTTACGTACATAATCTATTATGCAGATACTATTATGACTCCTATTTTATAGATGAGGAAATAAGGCATGGGGAGATTGACTTGCCTGAAGTTCCCTAATTGCTAGTGTACTTTTCCTTGTGCCATCCTGCTACATGGTTGACAGTGAAATGGGAATAGTGGAGCTAGATTATGAAATGCCATGTTAAGAAATTTGGACCTTAATCTTTTTTTTTTTTTAAAGATGACCGGTAAGGGGATCTTAACCCTTGACTTGGTGTTGTCAGCACCACGCTCAGCCAGTGCGCGAACCGGCCATCCCTATGTGGGATCCGAACCCGGGGCCTTCGTGTTATCAGCACCGCACTGTACCAAGTGAGCCACGGGCCGGCCGTGGACCTTAATCTTTTAGATAATAGGTGTGCATTGCCAATCTTTAAGTAAGAAGTGACATAATTACATTTATGTTTTGCGAGTGAATGACGGTACTTCAAAAAATTCATGGGAAAATTTGTATTATCTTTTAATTCTGTTTTTCCAGGAGCTTTTTGAAGTACCCTTGTGGCATTATTAAGGCTGAGTAGTAGGGAGAAGACCCAGGGACAGAGAGTCCTATAAGAGAACTGTTGTCTAGGTGACACTTGGAAATAGATTAAGTAAGATAGTGACAGTAGGGATGGAGAAGAGGAGATGTATTTGATGAGACTTCTGCATCCTATGTAGGACAGCATTGTTCTACAGATAGTCTCCAAATTTCTAGTATCAGCCCTCGCTTCTCTCGCAAGTCCTTAATATTGCTCTTTATTGGATGCTTTCATTTTGAGGCAGCATAGTGTTGAGAAATGTGGACTGTAGATCTGGGCTGCCTAGATTCAAATCTCAGCTCTCCAGTATTTAGTAGCTCTGTTACCTTGGACAAGTTACTTAACCTTCCCACGCTTCAGGTTCTTCATCTGTAAAATAGTAATAATAGTGCCAACCTCCTTGAGCTATTGTGTGGTAGAGTGGTTAGAACAGTACCAGGTACAAAGTCAGTGTTTGAAAGTGGTAGATAGTATTAGCTCCCTTTTCTTTTTTTTAAAGAAAATTAAATTTTATTAAAATTATTTTTTACATTTTAGGATGTTGTTGCAGAGCAGTTGGGAGGGAGGGGGAAAGGAGAAAGAAATGGGACGGAAGAAGGAGGAAGGAGGAGGGATGGGATTGAGGCCTGTGGCACCCCCCTCATTCCCACAGGGGAGACTGGGGGGCTTCCAGTAGTGGCTTGGTCATTGCTGGGCTGGGTGCAGATGTCAGGGGAGTGTGGAAAAGCCCTCACCCCCCACTGTCCAAGCATGGGAACCTGAGGCCCTTCTTGCTGTGGCTTGGTGGTCGTCACTGGGCTGGTTGCACTTGTCAGTGGGGCATAGCTGAGGCCCAAGACCCGGCACCACCCCTGCTTGGGAGAGACCGGGCTCTTCTTGCAGTGAGTGGCTCAGTGGTCACTGCTGAGCTGGCTGCAGGTGTCTTGGGGGTATGACCAAGGCCTGAGGCCCCGACCACCCCGGCTAGAAGAGCACGGGGCGCTTCTGGGGCGCTTCCGGGACACTTCCTGCAGCAGGTTGGTGGTTGCTGCTGGGCTGGCTGTGCCTGTTGGGGGGCGTGGCCGAGTCCCTCATCCCCCACTCTCGGGATTGGTTGGGGGTGTTCGTGGGGTATTGCTGAGGCCCCTTGCCCTCCTCCCTTGCTGGCTTGGTATCTCAGGGGACTTCCAGTCCTTCTATGTGTTATAGGTGTTTTTTGGTGAAATGTGACCTTTATTAGTTAATATGAAGCTTTATCTGTGGTTGCGGGTACTTTTTTCTTTCAGTTCTGTGTTGGATTATTTGCTGTTCCCACCATTTAAAATCTGTGCTGGAACTAATTTGTTCTCCTTTACTTACTTCTAAGATGGGGGAACTTCCTGTGGGGACCAGTACTTGAGCTGTGTGGTTGAGCTAGATTGCTGCTTTGCTGCTGATTCCCTGGGGAAGACTTTTTGTGCAGCTCAGGTTTTAATGGTTAACTTTACAGGTACTTCCAGCTCTCAAGAGATCCGAAACTCTGGTCTGGGCTGGAGTCTTTTCATCAAACTGCACCCCGTGCAATTATGTATTCTTGACTGGTCTCCTCTGAGTGGTCCTTTGCTGATAGGGGTGCAGGTCAGCTGTTTTTTCTGTGCCCCAGTGTTCCCCCGGTGGGCCCGTCTCTTCCATCGCCCATGCTGCAAACACTTCCCATGGGATGGGCTGTGCACCAGTCCCTTGCAATGACTCACTGGCTCCTGAGTGGCTCCTTATCTTCAGTTGTTGTGGCTCCTTGCTTGTATGTGAGCCCATGGGAACCCTATTAGTGGTCTTGCTGGCCTCAGGGTTGCCAAGGCACTCTTCTCCCTTGCTGCCTCCAAGCAACTTCATCTGGAGGGCACAGCTGCAGTTTTTGCCAGCTCCTGCTCTGTGCACTCAGCAGCTCCAGCCTGGATGTGGCAGGGCTCGAAATGGTCTGAGCAGTTTTTTCTTTTTCTCATCGTGGCTTCTCCTGCCTTCATGTACTCTGTAGGTCTCTCCTCCTCTTGCCCTGAGCTCTAGCAGCCCCAGCTTGGCTGTCGTTGCTTTTTTATAGTTTTAAATTGGTTGATTTGTGGGAGAGAGTGATGCTGGGGACTGTCTATTCCGCCATCTTGACTGGAAGTCCCCTATCTCCCTTTGCATTGGTTTCACATGTCACACTTTCCTCACTTTTCATCTTTGACTATCTTACTAGATAAAGAAAATATGATGGCTATGACTGGGATCCAACCCCATGGAAATTTAGTTATCAGCTAAATACCCTGATCAATCTACTTCTCCTGTTGTTTGATGAAGTAATTTGTAAATATGGAAACAGCTTGGTCAAGAAAATTCTAGGGAGAATTTACTGAACAGGCACTTGGAGCAGATGACATTCATGATTTTTTCTAATTTTGAGAGTCTGATTCGGTATTGAAACTCAGTATATCCAAGCCAAATTTGTTATCATTACTTCCCTAAATGAATTATTGGTTCCTAAGTTCTCTGAATTTATAACTGGTCATTCAGGAAATTGTCTCTTTTTTCCTCTAAAAATGTCTTGTGCGTCCTTATCTTCCTGTGCATTTCCATGGTCTTCTACCAGGTTGTCATCACATCATGCCCATGTCTATTAACCTCTACATAATTGTTGGTAGGGAAGATCTGTAGTTATTCATTTATTTGTTTCTGCAGATTATTCTTCTATCGATGCTGAAATGATTTTTAATATTGTTAACACTATTGTCAACTGATTATGACACCATACAAAGTTTCCACATCAGAAAAAAACCAAAATTGTCCTAGAAATGCTTTTATATAATTATTCCTAAAGAAATAAAAAAAGAGGGTTCAGATCCCCACACCAGCCAGCCACCAAAAAAAAAAAGAAAGTATAAGTAGTTTTGCTATTAAAAAAACTATGTTAATAATTGGACTGTAGTATTTAAAGCTGAGAATAATGATCATCCTTAGTTGCTTTTCATTAGAAAAACTGTATTTTTCTGAAAATGTTGTTTTCAACATTTGTGTATTTGATTGTGGCATGATTCATTTATGATGAACCATCTAAATGGTCTGTACTAATTATTTGGTCATTAACGTACTGTATATTTTTCTCCTTTTTTAATTTTATACACATTTTTGCCTTTTTCTCATTTGATTTGTTTTGCTCAGAACTGCTTGTCACCTTGAATTAGGACTGACTTCTTCAAAAATGCCAGAAGTAATTACAGTAGAGGAGAGGTTGAAGTTTTTCAACCAGTATTATATAGATATAATAAGTAATGTAAGTTCATGACTTACACCTTAGTGGTGTTTAGTATAGTCAGTGGTATGAAATTTGACAGCTAATAAAAGCTCATTAATTAAAGGTATCTAGCTCTATGTGCCATATCTTTTTTAAATTTAAGATTCAGTTCTTCAGTAAAATATGAAACAGTGTGGCTGTAATTAGGGAATTTTTCCCATGTGCTCCTTCATTTTTACATCATTATCTTGTCTGCAATAATAGCTTTCTAACTTATTTCTCTGTTCCTTATTGAGAGATCTCAAACTGGTGGCTATGGATGTTTTTTCTTTGGCATGCATGTTGTTTGAAAAATTTTGACTTTGTTGCCTACATATAAACACTCAGAATTTTCAGTTTTTAAAAAGACCTTTCAAGATTTTAAATTTTATCACTTCTTCACTTAATCAAATTATTCTCTTAATATATAATAGACTTTACATCTTCATGCCTCTGTATATCTATTCTCTCTGCTTTGGAATTACTTTGCCCTACTTTTCCCTATAGTGAGCCTCTGTTTATTCTTTAACATGTAGTGCTAAAGCCCACCTCTTCACCCCATGAAAAATCATTTCCATTCCCCCAGGTAAAGTATTCTGTTCCCTCCTCTGAACTCTCATAACACATTTATTCATACTTATCTCTTCTGCTAGATTATGAGAATATGTGGGTTAAGATTCATGTCATCCTTGTATTCATAGTGCCTATTATATTAGATACATAATAAATGTTTGTCAGATTGGATTCTTTCTGTCTTCTAATCCTTTACCATTTTGTTTCTTTTCTTTAGATAATCTCTTGGGAATCTCTTGGGTTGACAGCTCTTGGATCCCCATTTTGAACAGTGGTAGTGTACTGGATTACTTTTCAGAAAGAAGTAATCCTTTTTATGACAGGACATGTAATAATGAAGTGGTCAAAATGCAGAGGTTAACATTGGAACACTTGAAGTAAGTTAATTTAAGAAGGTAGCATCTTTGCCAACTAAAGATTTTGCGATGAACAGTTCTTTCAAGCTGTGGATGGTGAAGTGCAGAATATACGTTTTGGAAGAAAAATTGTAGTTTTGCTTGGGTTTGTACAAATTTGACATGCAAAGGAATTACAGTTGATTCTGGAACAACACAGGAGTTAGTGGTGTCAACACCCTGCACAGTAGAAATCTGTATATGACTTGACTCCTCAAAAACATAACTGCTAATAGCCTACTGTTGACCAGAAGCCTTACAGGTAAACAGTTGATAAGCATATTTTGTATGTTATATATTCTATTCTTACAATAAAGCTAGAGAAAAATTATTAGGAAAATACATTTACAGTACTGTACGCATATTTATTGAAAAATATGTCCACATATAAGTGGACTTGCACGGTTCAAACCAGTGTTGTTCAAAAGTCAACTGTATTAGTAGTCACTTGTAACTTAGAAGCCTTTTCTGTATAACTTCATAATGTCTATTTAAAATATAATTGAGGTTTAGGTGTCAATCTGATGAGTGATCTTAGCAGTACAACCAGGCAACTATAATTATTATCTCTAATTTAGTGTTTTATACCGTAGTCTGGTTTATAGTAGGTTTTTCTTTGTATGACAAAGGAAGTAAAATTTTAGCTAAACAAACACAAAGCAAGATTCTCCAGATTTAGGGTGCTACATTGTTCAAATTTATTATTAATACAAAAGTTTCTGAAACAACTGTGTAATGGAATTTTTCATTTGTCAACTAAATATCGGGAATTTATGAAATTAAATTTCTATGGTTTTAAGTGGCTTTTGTTATGAGACAAATTCTTAAAACTATTAAGACAACATATTGTTACTTTTAAACATAATCTGTCAGGTTAAAAAAATTTGTTGGGGTGAGGATAAGGTTTTGATGTTTTCTGGATGGGTATTCATGTTTATTTTTGTATTTTATATGTATTTATGGATCTTGGTCAGAAAGCATCATGGTATGTTGATTGTGTTTTTGAAATGGATGCTCTTCAGTGTACTTTCCTGACTGAAAATTCTGAGATTTAAGTTCACCACGAATTTTTGCAGAGAAATTTTGTTGTTTTTTAAAAACCAAATCTTATTTTATCTGTACACTACCTATCTGGTAAAGTAGGCAGTTTTACTCAACAGCTAGACTTTAACACCAAACACAGGTAGTTTTCATCCTATTTACAATGTTGCTACACCGTTATATAGTCATTTGAATGGTTGTTCGTAGGGCTTTCATGGATCTCTAGATGTTTGTGTTCTGTTTTCAGTCAGATGGTCGGAGTCGAATATATCCTTTTACATGCTCAAGAGCCCATTCTTTTTATCATTCGGAAGCAACAGCGGCATTCCCCTGCCCAAGGTAAACTGTAAACTTCAAGCATTATTTTTTTCTTAAAATATCATGATTTATTTATTTCCTGACCTATGTGCTGTTATTTTTTCGGATTGCCAACTAAAGATTTTGCAATGAACAGTTCTTTCAAGCTGAGGACCATGAAGTGCAGAGTAGAACTTTTGCATTAGGTTCTGTTTTGGGGGTCCCCACCACCATACACATATACTTTTCTAGGAGGACTCACCAGACCCAGTATATGATTATACTCATGGCTAAGATTTGTTGTGGCAACACAGTAAGGATACACAGCTAGATTAGTAATGGGAAAAGACATCAAGTAGGGTCTGTAGGAATCTCTGTGCAAGTTTATTGTGCCTTCCATCCAGCAGTGAAATGCAGCTACACATGTACAATGTGTCTGCTGAAGGAAGTTCATTTGAGACTCTGAACCCAAGACTTTTATTGAGGACTGGTGTGTAGGCATCCTCTGCCCACCCAAATTCCAGATTCCCAGAAGTAAATTAGCCATCCACTATAATTACATTACTTGTATAAATTGGCCAAGCTGGTACAGCATGCATAGCTATCACTTAGGAAATGTTTCAAGATCTAAGTTCCATTAGTTGTATGCTTGGACCAAGGCTCTTCCAACCTGCCCAAGGACAACTCTCCAAGCACTAACACTCAGAGCAACACACCACATCAAAGCCACCTCTTCCTGTGAGTACAGTTATTGGGATTCCGACTGAACCTCAAGCATCCCAAGTAACTTTTCTTCTCATCTCAGTCTACAAGTTAAGTCTGTTACAAAATACATGGTAGATGCAGTCGTATCAAATTCATAGAGGATCAGCTGAAAATACTCATGTACTCATTTAACCAGAATAACGCATTATACCAACCAATGAAATTTGCTTTAGAAATAACACCAGAGTATAGAATCCAGATTTCATTTGGCATCAAAGAGCTAGACACCTATTCTAGAGATGACTAGAACTTGAAGACACCTTGGAATCAAGCTAGGACCATGGACAATATCACACCAAAGAGAAGATTCAAGGTAGAAAAGACAGATAGTGTTGTCCCACCTACGTTTCTCAATTAGATACCGTCATCGAGACATTAGGAACAACCCTTATCCTGGTTTTGATTTCAGAGAATTACATGCTAAAGAAGTTGTGGTTCCAGAATCCAAATTTAGTTTCAAAATCAAAGATCTAGAGTCCCTGCCCAGAGAAAAAGAGGACCTTAGAAAATGGCAAGTCCAGGGGCAAGATTTGTGTTCAAGGTATAGAAGTTATGCAAGATGGTACTAGCCTCACTAGCAGCTATCTTATTCCTTAGGGCTCAACATTTGGAGCACCAAGGCAAGTTCGGTGCATCTGATTTTTTCACTCAGGGCCCCGAGTCTCTCTTGCTCTAAGGTCTTACGCCTGAAAGTGTGGTTGACTGACAAGAGCATTGACATCACTTAGGAACTTGTTAGAAATGCACTATCCCTAATAAATAAGAATATAATTTTAACCATGTCCTTAGGTGATTCAGATGCACATTAAAGTTTCAGAAGCACTCCTCTAGGCCAAGAGTTGGCATACTTTTTTTATGAAGGGCCGGAGAGTAAATGCTTTCCACGTGTGTGCCTCTTAGTCTCTGTGACAGCTACTCGACTGTAGCTAAAGCAGCCATAGATAATACATAAATGGATGGGTATGGCTGTTTTCCAGTGCAACTATATTTACAAAAACAGGAACTGCCAAACCCTGCCTTGAGATTTAATATGGGAAAATGTTAAATTTTAGTTGTTCTATGAAAATCTATTTAGGAGTTTGTTTCCATAGTTGTATTCATAAATATTTTTTCCCACTGCTTTAGTTATCCCATTGGCTGATTACTATATCATTGCTGGAGTGATCTATCAGGCACCAGACTTGGGATCAGTTATAAACTCCAGAGTGGTAAGTGTCTTCACAGTCTTTAAGCACTAAAGAAAAATTGTAATTGTGCTTCCATGCTTCCAAGAATCAAACAGGAGCTCTTTTTCCCTGTGTAACTTGGTGTAAAGTGTTGACTATTAGAATGTCTTGAGCATTGGTTACTGTGGGCTAAGTTAGTGCTTAAAGTATATACCACAGCCCCCATTGTTTAGTAATTTAGGTTCTGAAAAATTGGAAATTACTGTCTTTGCATGTGTAATATTTTGTGAGTATTTACTTTGGGAATTTTGGTTGACCTAATGAGGAATTTAGAATTTGTTTTCTTTTTACAAGCTTACTGCAGTGCATGGCATTCAGTCGGCTTTTGATGAAGCTATGTCATACTGTCGATATCATCCTTCCAAAGGGTATTGGTGGCACTTCAAAGATCATGAAGAGCAAGGTAGGTAGAATAATAGACCCTCCTAAAACACTTTTTGATTCTCTGAGAATGAAACTGTTTTCTTTAGGAAAATGGCTATTGGTATTTTCTTGGTGTGTTGTACTTTATCAAAAATAATGATATTGTTGTAGCTACAATTCATGTAACTAGATGTGATAATAATAGCCCTTACATATAAACAGATATGTTTAATCTGTTAGGAAACTGGTTGTATTAGTCTGTTTCTGTTGCTTATAACAGAATACCTGAAACTGGGTAATTTATAAAGAAATAAAATTTATATCTCACAGTTCCAGAGCCTGGGAAGTCCAAAGTCCAGGGAACACATCTGGTGAGGGCCTTTTTGGTGGGTAGTGACTCTTAACAGCAATGTGGGTGTCATATGGTGGATGGCTAAGCAAGAGAGAGCTAAACTTCTCAGTTGTTCTTTTGTTAAAGCCATCAGAACCATGCCCTTTACTCCGTGAATGGATCAGTACATTCACAAGGACACAGTCCTCTCAGTCTAATCACCTCTTTAAGGCCCCACCTTTCAATTACCATAATCGGATTTCCCACCCTGTTAATAGTTACAGAGGGGATTAAGCTTCAGTGAGTTTGGGAGGACATTCAATCCACAGCACTGGTAATCTTTGTTAAGATGATTCAAGATTTTAAAATATTTGGAACGTAAAGAAGAGAAACAGCAAAGATGATATTTTCTACTTACCTAAGTATTGAGTCATCTTGGAATCTGGAAACTTTTATTTCTCCAGTCTTTAAAGTAGGAGAGATGAGGGATTTCTCTTAGAGTCCTATTTCTAGATGACCAGTCTGTTTTCTTTTATTTTTTTTAAAAAGATGACCAGTAAGGGGATCTTAACCCTTGACTTGGTGTTGTCAGCACCACGCTCACCCAGTGAGCAAACCGGCCATCCCTATATGGGATCCAAACCCGTGACCTTGGTGTTATCAGCACCGCACTCTCCTGAGTGAGCCACAGGCTGGCCCTGACCAGTCTGTTTTCTTTTCTTTTTTTTTTTTTTTCCTTTTTGTCTTTTTTCGTGACCGGCAACGGATCGCAACCCTCAGTGTTGTGCCCGTACCGGACCGGGACCGGCAACGGGATCACAACCCTCGGTGGTGCTCCCGCACCTTGCTCAGCCAGTGAGCGGCCGGTCTGTATGTGGGATCCGAACCCTCGGTGGGAGCGCTGCCGCGCTTCCCAAGCGGCGCACTGTAGCAGTGCGCCACCGGGCCGGCCCAGACCAGTCTGTTTTCTGATCCATCCATGTATCACCTGTCATGGCACCAGGTCCCCTAGTTTCCATGGCTTCTTAAAAGATACAAAAGGTAATTTCAAACCAATAATCTGGATTGTGATTTAGGTAATTACAAAAAACTTTAGCTTTGAAATTTATGTCTGTCCATGTTTATGTACTAAAACTGAAGTATATTTAAAAGGCATATATCAGCTTCTTAAATGTTAGAGTTTAACTTCATTTAAGAGGGAGAGTTAGATCACTTCTGCATACTCATATGTGCTGTGTTTAGCTTATTTGTGGAGTTATCTTTGGTATTGCAGCCATTAAAAGTAATGAAGTTTGGGTACATTTGTGGTGGATAAAGATTTGTAAAATATAAGACACCAAACTAATTAGGTGGTATTTCAATTTGGACTTTGTATTTTAATAGATAAAGTCAAGCCTAAAGCCAAAAGGAAAGAAGAACCAAGCTCTATTTTTCAGCGACAACGTGTGGATGCTTTACTTGTAGACCTTAGACAAAAATTTCCACCCAAATTTGTACAGGTAATGATAATGTGTGGTTAATTTTGATTTGATACCTTTTTCTGGCACACATTTGTATATATGCTTTTTTTTTTTTTTTTTTGGTGGTTGGCCAGTTTGGGGATTATATTTATTTTTAATTGAAAATTGCTTCAGATGTGACCTAAAAGTATTGGTTTTCCTCATTAGTTAAAAAATGATCTCTGAATCAAAGGAAATGTTTTGAATGAAGGAAATGTGTAAGGGGATTGGAATTAACACTGTTTTGTGTTCCTTACTGAATCTTCTTAAACAATGAGGACTGCATATAGATAATATTCTCATTTAGAAAGTTGCTAAAAGTGTTACAGGTAGTAACAAAACTAAAATATGAAACTCATGCTCCTTTTTCTCTACAAGCTGCCTTCTAGCTCGATGTAGTGGATATCTAAACTCCTTAAATGATAGAATAATTAAAATTTTTGTAACAGAAAGATTAGAACATTTGAAGTAGAAGGTTTGGCATAATAAATGAAGGAGGTGGGAGTAATAATAGAGTTTTACTATATTGGTATTTAAGTTATGTGAATTCTAGTATGTGATTTTGGGGGGAGTTTCCAACAGCAATAGCAAATCCATCTGCCATTCTACTTAAATGAGCTTTTGAAGTGGGGTAGGTATGAGATAGAATATATGAACATGCCGTTTTCATGGTTAATCTCAGTTCTTAAGGACCTTTACAGGACTCTGTACATGCAAGATTATATATGCTGTTTTTCTTCGGAGCTGTTTAAGGGTAGTTTTAAATTAAATAGGATGTTTCACACTGTGGGATGACTTTAGAACTTCCCCCTTCCCTGACTCTGCTGTAGTGAGAGATATTTGCTATTAAAATTGTGATTTGGTGGTGAAGGGAGCAGAGTGCACAAGTTGGAACTCAGGACAGGAAAGCCAGCTTAGAGAAATCTCATGAATTAACACTTGAAGATAGAACAGTGTCTGTTGGATAAACAACAAACAAACAAGTAATAGCTGTGTACAGAGTGATGAGTAACCATTATAGAAACTACAGAATGTAAGAGGTTTGGTGTGGTTGACCATTCATTCAGTGAGTACATAGGATATATTTGGTAGGCTGGGGAAGAACACCTAGACCTGCACTGTCCTGTATACCTGTACAGTAGCCACTAGGCACATGTGACTATTGAGCATTTGAAACACAGCTAGTTCAGATTAAGTTGTGATATGAGTGTAAAATACATACAAAAAAATGTAAAATATTTCATTAATAATTTAAAAATATTGATTGTATGTTCAAATAATATTTTAGATATATTTGGTTAAATAAAACATAAGTTTCTTCTTTTAAAAAAATGTGACTAGAAAACTTAAAATAACATATATAGCTTGCACTTGTGTCTCACATTTCTTTTGATTAGTGCTAGAAATGGTAATAGAACACGCAAAACCGGAACATGAAAGAGTATTAGTGAACATTTACTCTGAAACAGAAAACTTTCTGAGGGTTTACTTGATGTGTTTGTGGAGGGGAAGTGTAATGGAAGATGAGACTTAATAGGCAGATAAAGGTCAGATTGAGAAGGATTTTGTATACTATACAAAGGAGTTTGTGTTTAATCCTATAGGCCAGTGTTTCTTCACTCTTTTAAACTTTTAACCCGTTACCATCCCCATAAATATAACAGGCATCCAGCTGTATTCAAATTTATTTGAAGTTATTACACAATAGCTATCATACCTAAAGACAAACTGGACCAGTGGTAAATTTTGTACATTCTTTTTCAAGTACATACCTTCTCGGAGTGTACTGAAATATCCTGTACCTCATCTTCAAGATCGTTATCAGTGACTAGCTGAGCATTATTGCTGATGGCAGTAGGGACCCACTGGATATTTAAAAATAACTGCAGGGGAGTAATGCAGTCAGTTTTGTTTTTTAGGAAGGTAACTAATAACAGTGTAGGAGATGATTAGGAAACTGTGACTTTTGGAGTCAGGGAACTTAGATTGTGGAAAACCAGAATTCATTCTGTAGCCATATGATAGAGAAGAGACAGATTTAAGAGACATTTCAGAGTTAAGATTGCCTAAATTTGGTGGTTGGATTTGGATAGATTGACATTAAAGGTGACTTTGGGGTTTCAGTCCTAGAATTAGACTATATTGTTGATTGTTAACCAAAATTCAGAATATAGGAAAAGAAGCAGATTTGGGGTGAAATATGTTGTTGTTAGGGGTTCTGCTTTTGTTAACAACTTTCAGAACATTCAGCACCCTATTGCTGTGTTTGGGTTCTGAGGTACTCTAGCCAGTGACCACTCCTTTTTTTCTGTCTAGGGGTCCTGCCTCGAATCCTGTGTGTTGTCCAATCCTGGTGAGCTAGGATGGACATTGTAGAAAGCTCAAAGACTCTTGATTCTTTTTTTTTTTTTTTTCCTTTTTTGTCTTTTTTTGTGACCGGCAATGGATCGCAACCCTCAGTGTCGCGCCCGTACCGGACCGGGACCGGGACCGGCAACGGGATCGCAACCCTCGGTGTTGCGCCCGCCCCTCGCTCAGCCAGTGAGTGGCCGGTCTGTATGTGGGATCCGAACCCTCGACGGGAGCGCCACCGCGCTCCCAAGTGGCGCACTGTAGCAGTGCGCCACCGGGCCGGCCCCCTGAGACTCTTGATTCTTAAAACAACAAAAATCCTTTACCTAATAGAAAATTGTGGTAATTTAAAAACATGTACAAAAGTACAGAGCATAATTAAAAGTGAAGCCCCCATGTACCCTTTGCCTGCTTCAGCAATTATCAAACATGGCCAATCTTGTTTTATGTCTCCTTCACCCACTTCCTTCCAGCTATTTTCAAGCAGACTGAGGACTTCATGTTATTGCAGTGAGGATTTTTTACATTTTTCTTTTAAAGTTTTAAGTAGTCATTTTTCTGAATCCCACATTTCTTTTCCCATCCAAGGGCCAAAAGCCAACTCCTAAAGAGAGAGTGTGTCTACTGCTGTGTAACAGAGCTAAGAGATAGATGGCTTTTTCTAGAATTATTAGCAATCCCTTTGCTTTTCCTACCAAAAATCCTCCTTCTCAGACACAGAGAAGAAAATAGTCTACTTGAAGTCACCCAGAACCATTCATAGCTCATATGAGCTCCCATTTACCCATTGTGTCCTCCAGAACCAGGAGTTATTAGTATCTATCCATTGTATTTAACAGTTGGGCTTGCGGTGCCTAGGGATATTGCCCCTATAGGGCAGTGCTCAGGAGAATATTGGAGAAGTCCTGTCTGTTTTTTTGAAGCTCCATATTTTAATTCTTGTTACTACCGGAAGTTACACTAATACCAATGTGATGGGAGTTCAGACCTTCAGAGCCTTTTATGATGAATGTCTTTTCAGTGCTGTTTTCAGAAGCTGCTGGAAATTTGTTTGGAAAGCCACCCTCATTCTATTTCCCCTTCTCAAATCATATCCTACTAATTTGACAGTATTCAGGTTCTTTGGGCAGATAATGACATTATTCCAATGTATAAATATAGTCTGATGTCCAGTATAGTTCAAAGGATTAAGTGCTAGCAGTATTAAAAATCCCCCCTCTCAAATTTTTCACTCCTTTTAATGTTCCTGCATACATTTCCTCTTCTATTTCAAAGTAAGAAAAATTGTTTGTTCCCTCAGATTACTTTAGACATCTAAGTCCTGATATGTTTATAAGATATGTGGCTGTGTTAGAGGTTCCCGTGACCACCCCCATGTTTGGAAATTTGCTGGAAGGACTCAACACGTAGTTGTACTCATGGCTAAGATTTATTGCTGTGATATAGTAAGGTTATGCAGCCAGATTAGAAGAAAAAAGACACAGTAGAGTCTAGAGAAATCCATGTGCAGGCTTCCTTCTACTTTCTCCTTCCCATGACGGGTTACACAGAGTATATTCTTCCCTCAGCAATGAAAATGCAGCAGTATATGTATGATATTTGTGACCAGGGAAATCCATTAGAGACTCAGTGCCCGAGGTTTTTTGGAAGGGTTGTCATGTAGGTGCTCTCTATCTAGCACATATCGAAACCCCACATCCTTGAAGAAAAGCAGGTATTCAGCATATATCTACCGCATTGTACACACAGTTCAGGCACAGTGAGCCAGTGTTAAGTTATGGAATGGTGGGAAGCCTCCTGAAATCCAAGTTCCTAGACACCAGCCAAGGGCTAATCTGTAAGCAGGCCTTTCTAAGGATAGCAGCCTCATGCCTTCTGTTTTAACCCCTTTATGCACAGTTTTGGTCTTGTTAAATGTAAAAGTTCCCAGGACTTGTAGTTGGAGTAGGCTAGTAGGTAGGTGGCAGCATGAATCTGGAACATGTGATATCAGAAAATTTTACAGTTTTTATTCATGGGAATAGGTGAGAAAGCTTAGGGAGGGCATGTAAATTCAGAAAGAAATTTAGAAAACAGATGGAGGCATTAACCTTAGAAATGAAGAGATTACTTTTTTCTTCTGAGATAATATGGAGATATATAAAGGTATTTTAAATATGCACATACACATAGTTGTCCCTTGGTATCATGAGGGATTGGTTCTAGGACCTCCCACAGATACCAAAGTCTTGCAGATGCTTGAGTCCCTGATATAAAAAGATGTAGTATTTTCATATAACCTACATGCATCCACCTGTACACTTTAAATCATCTCTAGATTACTTATAATAATACTTATTATAATACCTAATACTATGTAAATGCTATGTAAGTAGTTGTTATATTGTATTGTTTAGGAAATAATGACAAGAAAAAAAAGTCTGTGTGTTCAGTACATTTGCATTTTTTTTTTTTTCCTGAATGTTTTTGATCCATAGTTGGTTGAATCCATGGACGTGGAACCCATGGACATGGAGGGCCGGGGTGTGTGTGTGTGTGTGTGTGTGTGTGTGTGTGTGTGTGTGTGTTTGAAGGTAGATAGGAAAGTGGTTGGTGGTGCTGGCAACCTTTTTTTCTTTTGTTTTGTTTTTAAACATAGGAGGCAGAGTGTCATTGGCTGAGAGTGAGGGGTAGGTTGTGGGCCTTGGGAAGGAAGGAGGAGGATGGTGTTTTACGGCGCATTTAACTTGCAAAATGGGACAGGGAGATGGCAGGGCTCAATTAAGTAAAAGAATATTTGCTGTACAGAATGGAGGACCTGTCCTTGTTCCTGATCTCTAATGCCCCCATCAATTTCCTGCAATTTGACTTTTAATAATACACTCATAAGAAACTTTATGCTCATAAGAAGCTTTTTTCCCTCCTACTTCTTATACCTGCCAACTTGGAAAGTTACAAGGTCTATCAAAAACTTCATTTTCCTTTCTTGTAGTTCATATTGCCTAAGAAAATAAATCTCTGGAGTCTTGAAAGGCTCCATTATTTCCTCCCATTGGGTTCTCCTTAACAGCTTTTTGTAAAGTAGTGAAGCTTGGGTGAAAGCAAAGGGCTTTGTTAGATGTTTAAGGGTTTTTATGGTTGACTATTTTCTTCTAGTTTTATTTTTATTATTTATGTTTTTAGGTTTATTTATTAATTTTTTTTACATTCTATGATGATGATGTGGAGCAGTTGGGGGGAGAGTGTAAGGTGGAAGAAAGAGGGAGGGAGAAGGAGGAAGGAGGAGGGGTGGGGTTGAGGCCTATGGCACCCCCCTCATTCCTGCTGTGGAGACCAGGGTGCTTCCAGCGGTGTCTTGGTCATTGCTGGACTGGTTGCACGTGTCGGGGGGGCATTGCCAAGGCCTGAGGCTTTCCACTGCCCTGGCTTTGGAGAGCTCAGCACACTTCCTCCTGTGGCTTGGTGGGTGTTCTAGTTTTAGATTTGTGTCTTTTCTGGAATGGGGAATAAGAAGTCGGAAATGATAAATTTAGAATTTAGTTTTTATGGTACATGAATAGTAGTTTTTCTTCATGAAGTCATTTATAATGTAATGTAGATGAAGGTGTCATTTTAATAAGAATTATGAAGTCAAGAAGAAAAGGTTGCTAACCTGACCTGTTCTCTCCCCCCCCCCCTCTTTTTTTTAAATTATAGCAAAAGACTGGAGAAAAGCCTGTCCCAGGTATGGTTCATTAGATATTCTTATTAAACTCAAAATAAGACTAAACAGTCTGTCTAACTCAGTAATGGCTACAGCATGTGAGCTGTGGTCATGTGAGATGAGCTGTGGTCATTTTGTCTTTCTAGACTCTCATTGTAGTATGTCACTCCTTACCATTGAGATCTGCTGAATTGCCAACAGGTGGTGCTTTTGTGATAGTGAGATTGGTACTTAAAAGATGAATTGAAGTGGAAAGAGGTGTGAAGAGGTGTGAAGAAGTCAAGGTGATTTGAGGTTGTTTTTAGTCTGGATATCAGTGTGAAGAAAGGTCTTCTATTTTATCATTGAAAATAGTGTTGTACTATGCATGGAACTGGGATAGAATAATTACATATCTTGTTTATACATTATGTCTTATATAAATGCCATGTGTTTTTGTCTAGTGTTACAAATTTCCTTGAGTGATCAGGTTTTAGTAGGTTTATAACTGGGTTCTTATATACATCTACCTGGGGAAACAGATAAATTTAGAACTTGATATGAGCAAGTAAAAAGGGAGTTTGAAAGAATGAACCATTTATACTAACCATTGTCTAAATTTATCTCATTTATCCACCCAAATATGCTTTGATGTCTAGTGGATCAGACAAAGAAGGAGGCAGAACCTGTACCAGAAACTGTAAAATCTGAAGAGAAGGAGACCACAAAGACTGCCCAACAGACAGTGACCACTAAAGGCCCACCTGAGAAACGGATGAGACTTCAGTGAATATTGGACAAAAAAGAATCTTGCAAGACTCCTCTTGTAAATTATATCTCACTACTGCAGCACGCTTTTGAGCTTTGAAATACTTTGTCACAACCCTCTCATTTACATGGAATATGCTTTTCCTTTAAAAAAGGATGTTATTTCCATCATGCTTTCTTTGTGAGTATTTTTTATGTATCTTTTATAACTTTCCTCTACTGGATGTGAGCAGCCTGCTCATATGTGTACCAGTATGTACGTTTAAAAGCAAAATAAAGGTATTCATATACATTGTTTCATCATAACTTTTTTCCCCTTTTTGCTTTCTCTGAAATTTTTCAAATGCACTTTGACAACACAAAGGATTATATTATAGTAGTAACTAAGAATACTTTCTTTTACTAGTGGCATATTCCTCAAGTATTAAAATAATAAAGAGGGCTGGCTGATTGGCTCAGTTGGTAGAGTGTGGTGCTGAAAACACCCAGGTCTACAGTCTGGATCCCTGTACTGGCCAGCCACCAAAATAAAATGAAATAAAATAAAAATCCCCTCATATATTGTGGCCTCTTACTATGATGCATTGTTATAGTTCATTTAAATGGTCCTCTCTCTCACTAAATATCACCTTCTCATGAGCAAGGACCATGTCTTTACTGACATGAGTATCACCTTCTCAGCTACCTCAGCTGTAGCAAAGTCCCTTTCCTTATAACAAACATACAAAACACTATTGAATGAAACACCCCACATATATGTACTATAAATTGTTTTAATGTAAAAAAAAGAAACATGCACACAAAAGTAGTTACAATTTGGAAGATAAAGGAAAGGAAAAACCTCACTCACCAATACCATCACCCTACAAATACTGTAACAAAACTGCTGAGAACTTTTGTGTAATGTGCTGTCATTTTGGAGAGTAAATTGTGGTTCAGATTTTTATTCAGTCGCCAAGAGATGAGCTTTGATAAATTTTAGATGTATTGCACAAATAAAAAGTTCATAACTTCATAAGTACCTCCAAAAACCCACCAAATACTGTTAACAGTGGTGTGAATTTTCTTAGTCTTTTTCTGTGTGTACATACTTTTATTTGTTCATACAATTTTACGTTATCATATTGATATGTCTGTTGTAAGCATTTTCCTATAGTTACTTAGTTTTTATTTTATTTTTTAATTTTTTAAGAAGATGACCGGTAAGGGGATCTTAACCCTTGACTTGGTGTTGTCAGCATCACACTCTCCCGAGTGAGCCACAGGCTGGCCCCGTTACTTAGTTTTTATAGACCATTTTAGTGACTGAATAATTTCGGAGTGATTATATGTCAGTTTCTAAAACTCTGTTATATTTGGATGTATCCCAATTTGCATTATTTTAAATAAGACTCCAGTGGTTATATTTGTGTTTAATGACTTTTATTTATTTATTTAAAAATATATTTTTTGCACTTTTAAAAAACATGTAATAATTGTACATATTTATGAGCTACAGAGTGATATTTTCATACAATGTGTAATTTAGAACTTGATATGAGCAAGTAAAAAGTGAATTTGAAAGAATGGACCATTTATACTAACCATTGTCTAAATTTATCTCATCCTTCCACCCACATTCCTCTCCAAAAAATAAAATCAGGTAATTGGCATATCCAGCACTGCAAACGTTTATCATTTCTTTGTGTTGAGAACTTTTGAACTCCTCTCTTTTACCCATTTGAAAGTACACAATGAGTTATTGTTATAGTCACAAAGCACTGCTATAGAACACTAGAACTTATAATAGATATCTGCACCCCCTATCTGTCTGTAAGTTTGTATCCAAACTAACCTCTCCCTGTTCCTATCCCCCACCCTTACCAGCCTCTAGTAGGCCCAATTCTACTTTCTACTTCTGAGCTTAACTTTTTCAGTTTCCACATATGAGTGAGAACAGGTGTTCTTGACTTATTCCAGTTAACATAATGCCTTCCAGGCTCATCCATGTAGCCACAGATGACAGGATTTCATTCTTTTTTTATGGCTGAGTAGTATTCCATTGTGTACTTTTATGCCACATTTTCTTTACTCATTCATCTGTTGGTGGGCACTTAGGTTGATTTCGTATCTTGGCTGTTGTGAATAGTGCTGAAGTAAACATGGGGAGTGCAGATATCTATTTGGTATATCAATTCCCTTTCCTTTGGATATATATCCAGTAGTGGGATTGCTGGATCAAAGGGTAGCTCTACTTTTAGTTTTTCAAGGTACCTCTCTACTGTTTTCCATAATGGTTATACTAATTTACATTTCTACCATCAGTGTGTAAGAGTTCACTTTTCTTCCCATCCTTGACAACATTTGTTATTTTTGGCTTTTTTTTTTTTTTTAATGGCAGCTGGCCAGTATGACTCCTTTTTGTATCTCTCCTTTTGAGAAATGTCTATTCAGATCCTTTGCCCATTTTTAAATCAGATTATTTGTTTTTTTCTGTTGAGTTTTTTGAGTTCCTTGTATATTCTGGCTATTAATTCCTTGTTAAATGCACAGTTTACAGATATTTTATCCCATTCTGCAGGTTGCCTCTTTATTCTGCTGCAATCAACAGAAGTTGTGCAGAAGTTTTCTAGTTTGCTGTAGACCGATTGGTCTATTGCTTTTGTGGCCTGTGCTTTTCAGGTCTTCTCAACAAAATCTCTCATCTGACCAATGACTTGAAGCTTTTCCCCTATGTTTTCTCCTAGTAGTTTTTAGTTTTGGGTCTTACATTTAACTGTTTAATCCACTTTAACTTGATTTTTGTATACAGTGAAAGAGAGGGGTCTGGTTTCATTCTTCTGTACATGGATGTAGTTTTCCCAGCACCATTTACTGATGAAACTTTCCTTTCCACAATGAATATTCTTGGTGCCTTTGTCAAAAGTCAGTTGGCTGTAAGTGCATGGCTTTATTTCAGGGTTCTCTATTCTGTTCCATTGATCTATGTATCTGGTTTTATACCAGTACTATACTGTTTTGGTTATTATAGCTTTTTGGTATATTTTGAAGTCAGGTAGTGTGATGCCTCCAAATTTGTCCGTTTTGCTTAGGATTGCTTTGGCTATTTGGAGTCTTGTGGTTCCATATGAATTTTAGGATTGTTTTTTCTGTTTCTGTGAATAATGTCATTGATGTCTTGATAGGGAATGCATTGAATCTGTAGATTGTCTTTGATAGGATGGTCATTGTGAAGGTTAATTCTAGGTGTCAACTTGGTTAGATGAACGAATGTTGAGAAACCTGGTAAAGTTCTTTTAAAGTGTGTTCATGAGGGTGTTTCCAGCAGAAATTAGTAAGAGAGTCTGAGTGGACTGGGTGGGAAAGACCCACCGTCAATGTGGGTGGGAGCCATCCAATCCACTGGGGATCTGGAGAGAACAAAAGACAGAGGAAAAAGGTGAAGCTCTCTCTCTGTCCGCTGGAGCTGGGATACACTCTTCTCTCCTGTCTGTGGACATCAGAGCTCGAGACTCTTCAGCTTTTGGGTTCCAGAACTTACACCAAAGACACCATCAGCTTCTCTGGTTTTGAGGCCTTCGGACTTGGACTAAGCCACACTACCAGCATCCAGTTTATAGACAGCCTATCAGGGGATTTTCTTCACAATTGCGTGAGCTAATTCCCCTAATAAATCCCTCTCATATAATTATAACATATCCTATCAATTCTGTCTCTCTGGAGAACCCTGACTAATACAGCCATCTTAACAAAATTAATTCTTCTAATCCATGAATGTGGGTTGTCTTTTCATTTTCTCGTGTCCTCTTCAGTTTTTTTCATTAGTGTTTTATAGCGTTTTTTGTAGGATCTTTATCTTGTTAAATTTGTTTCTAGGTTTTGTGGGGGGTTTTTGTAGCTATTGTAAATGGGATTGCTTTCTTGATTTCTTTTTCTGTTATCTCGTTGTTGGTGTATAGAGACACTATTGATTTTTGTGTGTTGGTTTTGTATCCTGCAACTTTACTAAATTCATTTATCAGTTCTAAGAGCTTTTTGGTGGAATATTTAGGTTTTTCTATGTATAAGATCATGGTGTCTGCAAACATGGACACTTTGATTTCTTCTTTTCCAACTTGGATGCCCTTTAACTCTTTCTCTCACCTAATTGCTCTGGCTAGGACTTTCAGTACTATGTTGAGTAAGAGTGGCAAAAGTGGGCATCCTTGTCTTGTTCTGGTTCTTAGAGGGAAAGCTTTTAACTCATCCCTGTTCAGTATGATATTAGCTGTGGGTTTGTCATATATGACCTTTATTGTGTTGGGGTATGTTCTTTTTATACCTATTTGTTGAGTTTTTATCATGAAGGGATGTTGAATTTTATTTAATGCTTTTTCTGCATCTATTGAGATGATCATATGGTTTTTATCCTTCATTCTGTTGATGTGATGTATCACGTTTATTTATTTGCCTATGTTGAACTATCCTTGCATCCCTGGAATAAATCAGACTTGATCCTGGCATATAATCTTTTTAATGTGCTACTGTATTTGGTTTGCTGGTATTTTGTTGAAGATTTCTTTTCTTTAGGTAGATGCTTAGGACTGGAATGGCTGAACCATATAGTAGGTGTATGTTTAACTTCTTTTAGAAACTGTAGAAATGTTTTCCAAAGTGGTTGCACCATTTTACATTTCCATCAGCAAAGTATGAAAGTTTCAATTCCTCTGTGTCTTTACCCTCAGTATGGTCATCATTTTAACTTTAGCCATTCTAACAGGTATGTAGTAATATTATATTGTGGCTTTAGTGTGCATTTTCCTTATTACTGGTCATATTGAGCATCTTTTCATGTGCTTATTTGCCTTCTGTTTATCTTCCTTGGTAAAGTGTGTGTTCAAATCCTTTGCCCATTTCTTGAAGGGTTGTTTCTTATTATTGAGTTTTGAGAGTTTTTTATGAAGTCATTTATCAGATATATGTTTTACAAATACTTGATTCTAATCTGTGGCTTGTTTTTTCATTCTCCTAATAAAGTCTTTTGAAGAGAAGTTTGTAATTTTTTATGAAGTCCAGTTTACTAATTTTCCTTTTCTGGATTTTGCTTTTCTTTGCCTTTCTAGGAAATCTTTGCTTAATCCTAGGTTAAAATGATATTCTCCTATGTTTTCCTCTAGAAGTTTTGTAGTTTTTGTTTTTTTAACATATTGTGCTGTGATCCATTTTGGGTTAATTTTTTTAAATGGTGCAAGGCATGAAATGAAGTTGTTCTTTATTTTATTTTTCAATTCATTGTTCCAGCACCCTTTGTTAAAACACTGTCCTTTCTAAACTGGCTTGCCTTTGCACATTTGTAAAAAAATCAGTTGTCCCTATTAGTGTGGGTCTATTTCTAGTCTCACTATTCTGTTCTGTTAATCTGTTTGTCTGTCTTTATGCAAATGCCCCACTATTTTGCGTACTGTAGCTTTATAGTAAGTCTTAAAATCAAATAGATGTAGTCCTGCAACTTCTTCTTTTTTAAAGTTGGTTTGGCTGTTTTAGGTCCTTTGCATTTCTATATGAGTTTTTGAATTGGTTTGTTAAATTCTGCAAGAAAAACCTGATGGGATTAGGATTGCATTGATCATTTTGGGGAGAAATAATATCTTAATAGAGCTAATTATTTAGACAAATGAACAATACCTCTTCATTAATTTAGGTTATTTTTAATTTCAGTGGTGTTTTGTAGTTTTCAGTGTAGAGGTCTATCACAACTTTTGTCAAAATTATTATTAAGAATTAATATTTGTTATTGCTATGTAATAGTATTTTTAAAAAAAAATCAATTTGCAATTGCTCATTGCCAGTATATGAAAATACACTGATTGCTGTATATTCATCTTATATATATCAAGCTTGCTAAACTCATTAGTTTTAGTAGCTTTTTTTTTGTAGATTCTATTGGATTTCTACATAGATGCCTGAAGGTTACATGAAGGTCAGCAAGCACCAGGAGAGAGGCAGGAGACAGTGGAAACTGTGAACCAACACCTTTATTGGGTTCCAGGGCATTATCATGTAAGTTTTCCATTGGGAGTTTAAATTGGTGGGTTTGGAGCAAACAGGTACAACTTATAAGAGGTCACACTGTAACTGAGAAGTGGTCACTGTGGCATATCTGCGCAGTCCATGCAAGACGTGGAGGTCAGCAGGGCTAGTTAAGTAGGTTGTATTTAGCTCTTCCACAGGGAGGTGGTCACAAGCAGGACGTTGTATAAGGCACATATCTGGATGAAACTGGGGGAAGGTGTAGAACTGGAAACTGTGTCAAGGGTGACAGAGCCCTGCTTCTGGTGTGAGAACGTTAAACTTACATTTGCAATGGATGCAAAGGCAACATAAAATTACAAGAATTCACTGTAGGCAGTTTGTACTGCAACCTAATTCTTCTGGTGGATCTAAGAAAAGTCATTGATTTTAATTTGTTTAGCTGCTTGTTTTTGTGTGGGTGGGAGTAAGGAGTTGCAAAGCTCTTAACATGCCAGAAAAGAAACCAGAAGGGCATCCATTGTGCAATTTCTATTCTTTAAAATTTATTAAGACTTGGTTTATGTCCATGGTACTATCGATTTTGGTAAATGCCACACATGCATTTGAAAATAATGTGTATTCTGCAGTTGTTGAGTATAATGTTCTATATGTATCAATAAGGTTAGTT